GCCCGGCCCGCGGGCGCCGGGCCCAGCTCCGCGGTCCCGAGCCCGCCCAGGCTTCTGTCTGCAGAGGGGCTTCGGAAGCCTGCACCCCTCCTGTGCCTCCCGAGGCCGCAGCGTCGCCTCCTCCGCGGGCCGCTCATCCGAACCTTTACTGCGCTTCCCTAGCGGGGCCAGAGAACTGAACATGAAGGGTCGCGCTGAAGGAACTAACGTTCAGGGGCTGGGGAGTTAGCTCAGCGGCACAGCGCCTGCCTGGCAAGCACGAGGTCGTGAGTTCGATTCCCGGTACCGAAAGAAAAAAAAAAAGAACTAACGTTCGGCTGGGTTCTGTGGTTTTCGGGTTCGGGGCGTTAAATTTACTTCTGGTTGAGTTTACGTTCAGGTCCCCTTCCTTCTTCACAGGGAGTCTCAGGGCATCAACTGAAGACAGCGGCTCAACCCAGGGGACCTATTACATCTTGCATGTGAAAAGATCTCTTAACGGTTCCTAAAGCCCACCCGAGCTCTGCAGCACACCCTGGCAGAACTCGGGAAGAAGTCAGAGCCCCGCATCCCCCGAGGCCCCGCCGAGGCCTGGAGCCGTAGGCCGGGGCTCACACCGCCGCCTTGGAAGCACCAGCCCTGCGCCCCGCATTTCAGCGAAATGCTGTCTAGTCAAGTTACTCCTTTCCTGCCTACACCTCAACTTTATACGTGTAACAGAGAACCTACAGGGTACAGGGCTTTAGGCAGCTAACAAAGTTTCTGGAAATAGTAGTCATAACATTTACCCTCCAGTGGTGTGTGTATGGGGGGGACCAGCGGAGACCACCAGGCTTGGGCAAAGGCAACATGGAATTTATCGTGGCTGGGTGCAGGCAGAGAGCGCGATGAGACGGTCTGCCGCGAACAAAGGAAGCGTGTCCGTTTTGTAGGGATGGAGAGAAGGCAGGGACACTAGGCGGGAAGATTCTAATAAACATCTGTGGTCAGAGCTCTCTGGCAGTCTTGCACCTCAGTGGGCAAAGTCCTTGAAGTGTCTGCTGTAAATTCTCAGTGTCCCCAGATGTCCCCACGACCTGCAAAATTCCTTGTCCTGTCTTATCTCCTTTCCTGTGCTTGCCCATGACAACTTCAGTACCGACTTCCTTACTGAGAGTAGCGCTTCTGCCGGCCTGCAGGTTGGGGCTGGGAGAGTCAGGTCCGATTCAAACCGTACAGTAATGAACTTGGTTTTGCCTATTGAAGTCATTGTGCTGATCAGTAGGTTTTTTGTTTTTGTGTTTTGTCTTTTTGAGACAAGGTCTTACTATGCACTGGGCTTGAGCTCACTTTATAGCCCAGGCTGGTCTCGAACTCTCAATGATGCTCCTGCCTCAGCCTCCGAGTGGTGGGATTACGGGCCTGCACCACCACAACCAGCCAGTAGATTTGTTTTGTGTTGTTTGTATTAGTTTTGGTTTTTTAAGACAGGGTCCTGCTATGTACTGTGTGTTGGCCTTAAACTATGTAGTCCAGGCTGTTCTTGAACTCACCACGATCCTCCTACCTCAGTCTTCAGAGTGCTGGGATCACAGGCATATGCCACCACACTCAGCTCCAATAGGTAGGCTTTATTTTATCTTACTCAATTGAACCAGATATTTGTGCATTAAATTTTCAGTTCAATCTGATGTTTCATTTTATTTTATTTTTTTCCCTCGGTTTTTTTTTCCAGTACTGGGAATCGAACTCACAACCTTGTGCTTGCCAGGCAGGCACTGTGCCGCTGAGCTAAATCCCCAGCCCCAATCTGATGTTTTAGAGACCATACAAAAATATGTACAAGGCTGAGGCAGAAAGATTCTAACTTCCAGGCTAGCCTGCACTATTATGTGACTTAACACCAGTACTGCAAAACAAAAACAACAAAATACTATAGGTAGCAGATGATTTTTTTTTTTTATACCAGGAATCAAACTCAGGACTTTTTGCTTGCCAGGCAGGTGCTGTGCCACTGAGCTATATCCCCCGCTAATGATAAATTTTAAACCTATTTAAAACCATTTCTTTCTCTTTTTTTTTTTTTTTTTTTTTTTTTTTTTT